ACCAGAACTTTATCGTAGATTTTATCTCGAACAGATAGGGCAACATTTTCTAAGTCCTCTTCAGTGATGTCCTCCACTGGCCGAAAAGAAGAAATGCGGTGCCGCCGTCTATACCCCTGGCATTTCCCCTGCAAAGGAGCCGAAGCAGAACCTGACGTAAGGTATTGCGAGAGGTTAAGAAAAAAACACATTAAAAAGTTTTAAACTGTCCTGAGATCTAGCACCTTTCGTGTCAACCACGTCCCTCGTCTATTTCCTTGGACTCATTCATTGAGTCGTGTACTGAGCTCCTGCCACACAGTGCCAAGCTTCCTTCATGGCGAGGTGGTATGATAAACGAGCAGCCCAGGTTTCACCTGAGCGATACCTGGCCACCTGCTATAAACTGAGGACAGAGAAGTAACCACGCTGAACAGCCGAACCCACAATTAGGAAGGGTCTAAAGTCTCCTCCTCCAGGCTGAAGGCACATGAGAGGCCTCATTCCGAAAAGTGCTTTCCGCCAAGCAAAACCGCAAAGCCCACTGGAGCCATTAAAGAGCCTGGGTGGCCTCCAGTGGAGACAAGCTGGGGTCCCTAACCACTGGACCGCTGCTCGGATTGGAGAGAGGGCTCTCTCCGTGGCCTATGGTTTAGACCCGGGTTCTTCTCAGAGTGTGGGTGGCTCAGGGGCACCACCTGGGAACACAGCAGAAATGCAGACCCACTTGAGTCATAACCTCAGCACATGCCCTGGGGTGACTGTGACAAGCACTGGTGGCAGGGGACCACTGGCTCAGACTAAGAATCATCTGTTTCCTATGGTGAAATAAATACCCCGCTGATTGTCTTCCTCCTCCTGAAACTGTAGTACTCTTCTGTGAACTTGGTGGCCGAGACGGCGAAGTTCTCCAGGGCGAACTTCTCGGGCGGCCGCGCGCTCCGGGTGGGGTTCGTGCGCCGCGTGATCTGCCCCTCCGAGAAGGCCCGCCGCACGGCTTTCTTCTTCTGAAAGCGAGAGCACAGACACATGCAGCGGGTGCCTGCTCAACACGAGCCACCTGGCACCCGGCTGTGTTCGCCAGTGTCGCGATAAGTGATCACGAGGAGTTCCACTTACAGAAGCTGAGTTCGGGGTCCGGACGGGGAAGAAGTCTGGCATTGAGTTCAGTTCCGCCAATAACTGAGCGAGCTGAAGTGCAGAACGAAAGAAAGCATCGTACGTCAGTGCTGCCAAGTCTGGTTGACCTCACACCTTATCACGAGTCTTCAGTTTCGCAGCCATGAGAAACGTGACTAAAGTTGTTTACATATGAGCTCGAGGGCTGTTATAATTTTAACCTCGCGTGTAACGATTTTCATCTCCAGAGGTGAGATGCTGATATCATTCACAGGAATGAAACCCATGCCCATTCCTTATGTATAAGGTCATGACACAATGAAAAGTCCTGGAGCATCAGGCTGGAATCCTGATGGGGCCACTAACTAGCAGTGACCCTGGAACAGCATTTTACACACCTGCATCAAGTTTCACTATGTTCAAAACAGAAAAGGCTCTCAACTAGATCATTCTGTCAGTTATTTAGAGCTCCTAAAACTGATTAAGTTCTCATCAATAATTTCTGAAAATATTCCCAAATAAACACCTAAGAATACCAAATAATAGGCATTAATATGCAGTGAGGCAATTTCATTAGGATTCTTTTTAGTTCCAGATTTATACAAATGTATGGATGTCACTAAAAGATCATGAACAACAGTTCTTATTTTAAAGATGCAGACGGATACAGTGCTAAAATTTGCCTTAGATAATGACGATAATAACAATAATAATAATAATAATAATAATAATGTTTCAGGATAAATTCCACCTAAAAGCTTTATATTTTAAGTAACTTATTAGACACATAAGATTATATATACAGTATCATTACATTGCACTTTTTAAACAGAAAATATTAAAAAATATATCAAAATGCTAAAAGTGAGTGATTTAAAAAGTTCTATATATACAAAATTATGAAGCAAACAGTTATTTACCACATACAGAAAAGCTACATATAACAAAGATTTCACCTTGTTCTATTAATTTTTCTAGTGAAGACATTTTAAAGTTCAGTTTAGCATCTAGACCTCTTTCATTCCTTTGGATTATGTCTCGAAACCAGGGCAGGTCATCACAATACAGTTTTGGGGGCTGAAAGCCACCTGTCTGACCCACACACTGCAACTCTTAGGTGGCTTCCTAACATCCTATTTGCACGTTGCTCTTCTGCTGGGAACAGGCCAGTTGTTCAGCCCCCTCCCCTCCAATGCCACTGCATAGGTAGAACTTCATGGCACGGTTTGGGAACAGAGACTCCCAGCACGGTTTTAAAAAACGGTGCTGAGAGTCTCTGTTCCCAAACCAGAGCTATCAGATAATAACTGCTTGGGGTTCAGGAAAAGAGACACTTCACACAACACCCAGAGCTCATTTCCTGCCGGAAGCCAAGCTGTAAGGGCGCAGCCTGTGAGCCTGGGCAGCCGCTGGTCAGAGCCCGGAGCTGGCTCCCACCGCCTGCGCGGGGCCTTACCATGGCCTTGTTCTCCTTGATGTTCATGGTCCTTTTCAGCAGCGCGTCGGAGCCCTCCTGGCCTTCATCCCTGGAGTCATCCTCAGATTCAGAGACAGAATCTTCCCTTTCCTTCCCTTGTCTGCAGCTTTTCTTTCTCCCAAGAATTGCTTTTTGGGGGTCCTGTAAGCATGAGCTGGAAAACAGTGGCTCAGAAGAACTGTTTTTATCTGACTTTTTTGCCAGTTTCTTGGTGGGGAATTGCAAGGCTACACGAAGGCCAATACTGCTTCTTCTAGGCCTGCTTCTTCTAGGGGTAGCCTTTTCTTCATCTTCCTCTTCCTCACTCACGAAGGATGCTTTACTGTCGTCACTCAACTCTGACTCGTCGAGCTAACAAAATGAGAAAAAGCAAAGATGTCTATAAGACTTTGAAAAAAACATATTTAAACACACTGACATGATTTTAGGAAAAGAATAAATAGCTGAAAGCCTCCTCTTCCTACTCTTAGTTCTCTGTGAACTCTTCAGTTCCATGCTCAAGTACTTTGCTGATGAATAAAATCAAAGAGCACCTATTACTGCACTCTGCCCCACCCACACCCACTGGCAGACTAGGTTCCACTCAGAGCATCAGGCTGGAAGCAAAAGACTGACAAAGACGACTCCTGCGTAGTGGAGCAGCCAAGCTGGCACATCCGGAAGCCACGTAACAGGAGGAACGTGTGTCAAAGCGTGTGCAAGACATAAGAGTCACCTTCAGCTAGAAATGGGAGTGCCTGGGGAAGAAAAAATATTGACTATTCTGCCCTAAACAGGACGAGGACTCATGAGGAAAAGGGACAGGAGAGAGGACTTCACCTCAGTGAACTGACCAAGGAGCAGGCAGATTACTGGCCAGTGGGGTCACTGGCAATGTCGTCTCCAAGACATGATGAGTCCTCACTCCAAGGGAAGCCCCCTCCTTTTTCTGTAACTGGGTGGCGTCGAGGCAGACAGCTGTGCAGGTTGTGAAACATCTGTTCAGTCAGCTCAAGAACTCATCCCGTTCCCAAACTTTACTCGGTATCCGTCTCCGGCATTAAAACATAACTCAGTTTTACACGTGAGGACACAGTGAGAATGGAAGGCAACGGCAGGGTGACATTACCCAGGTGACAATGCAGAATATCTCAGATGCAAGGGGAGTCCTACCAATAATAGAGGGTTAAACATCGAGATCAAGGCCGTCTCCTGGGCATCTTTCCTTGACCACAAGCTGGAAAGCTGAGTCTGAGAGCTTGTCAGGGACTCTGCCAAGGGAGTGCTGGGAGGAGAGAACGGGGAGCACCAGGACGGGCCCAGGATTCAGTGAAATGATTCTGCTGCCTCCTCAGTGACCACCCCCTGAATTCTAGCTGGACTCAAGGTAAAATAAGGCAGAGGGAGGATAATGCAGATAACTGCCAAACCTTGGTATACGCATCGGTGCACGACAGGCCAAGGAGAGAAATAAGACCACACTGTACTATCTATTTTTTTTTTTTTTAAATATCCTGAACTTTCTACATTAGTAGCTTTGGAATTCAAAACCATGGGCCGCAGAGAAATCCAATTTTGGAAGACACTGTTGGGCAACTTCAGAGGACATATCCCCAGACTGGCTTATTTATCATAATCATCATCTAACCCACCTCCCTTCACCAAGGATGGAGAGTAGCTTACAACGAAGGACTGAAGTAGGGAAACAGCAAACTGTCAAAATACCAGTGGACACTCAGAGCCGAGGGAAAGAACGCAAGGGCCAGCACCTCTGCTGTGGCTGCTTCAACTTTGGCTAAAGACCACTAGGCACCGGGGTATGACGATTTCCCGTCATCTGGAATGGTGGTCTCACCAGTTCCCACCTGAGTGGGCAGGAAGCTGGGAAGGGAGAAAACGGGGCTTGTTTTCTCACTGAATTTTAAAATAAAAGTTGCAGGTGGACCTCCCCTGAGCTATGAGTTATATCAGAGTTGACATAACATGTCACAATTAATATCCTAAATTCATTGACCGTGAGGGGGGAGAAAAGACTTTTGGGGTAATTTACTTTCTTGTGCTGGAAACACAAATCCTTTGAATAACCAGCCATCATTTAAAGAACAGAAGATAAATAAGCCACTAAGAGTAGATGATACCCATCAGGGTTTGGAAGGATTTTAGCGTCTTGCTGGCCAGGGAATGGAGACTTGCTAGCCAGAACACATGAACTGCCATAAAAACAGCTTCTGTAAAGAAACCAAGGGAGGGCTGGGCCCCACAGGCTGGCACAGCTCCGTGCTGCTATTCACAGAAGAAAAAAGTCACCATCAAACAAGGCAGCCTACCATTAGGGCTTTCGGCCTTAAGTTCCCCCTAGGAAAAGGCGGGGGACAGAGCAAGCAGCTTATTTAAACTTCCATATAGGTTCCACGCCAGCAGTGGTTCTGCAGGAGTATCTGAATGTGAAGAAGCTTAACTTCCATCCTTTACCTCAATACCGAAGAAGGAAGCGGTATACTGATTTTTTGGGATAAATGTATGCTATTTTTCAGTTAGCAGAAAATGCTTTTATGCCTAAAAGAAATCCAAAGGCTGTTCTTTAAAGTGACCCTGAGATTCAAATACTAGTTGGCAATAAACTGGCCTAAACATTATGAAATAAGAAGAAATCAACCATCAGGTCTCTTGATGGCAAAGTCCTGAGAGCAGATTGTTCTCGGGACTCAAGTAGGCCTGGGTCACCTTTATCATTAAAAAGCATATCAGCCCCCAAATCGAGAATGCACAGGGTAACACTTTGTACCATAGTTAAGTCTTTGCCAAATTAACTCCAAACCCAAGAACTTTAGTTCACACACAAGAAGAAATGACTTTAAGAAACTTGTTACTCCCAGATAGATCCTCCTCTTTTTAGATAAAGAGGTTCAAAAAGTCTGAAATAAATTCTTTGATAAGGGACAATAAGAGACACCTGGGACACAGCCCCCCAAACTCCAAAGGCACCAAAGGAAGAAAACTGGTTTTTCTATGCGAGAATAATGGATTAGTGGACCAGGAATTTGCCTTAGAATAGCAATTTTCATATTCTGTTAACTGGCTTAGAAGATAATCACGTAAGAAAAAGGAATTCCTTTTCACCTGTGAAGTGGCTTCTTACAGGCAAAAAAAAAAAAATTCAGAAGCAGAACTAAAAGTATCATAACCCACACTTCCTCATGTTGATCATTATTACCTTTACTTCTGGGTTACTGTTTACGTTCAGATCACTCTGCGTAAATCCTTCAAAATCTTCCGTCTCTGAGTCAGTGTCCTCTATAAAAATTCTTCTTAGCTCTTCTGTGAAGTATTTGGAACGGAAGCGCACATCCTGCTAAATTAAAAACACACGTATGTCACATGGAACGAAAGAACAAACAGTGGCTACCAGGGACTGGGGGGCAATGGGAGTTATTGTTTAATAGGTACAGAGTTTCTGTTTGAGACATGAAAACATCCTGCGAATAGATAATGGTGACAGCTGCACAACCCCGTGAGTCTACTTAATGCCACTGAATATCTTGTCGGCAAGAAACTGGGAACTTGTTTGTACTTAAAAATGATTAAAATGGCAAATTTCATGTTATGTGTATTTTACCATCACACTCTCTCACACACACACACACACACACATTTTCTATAGCTTACAGAAATTTAGGCCCACGAATTGATTTCAAAAACTCAGTATATGTCCACAGCCTCAGCCAGTTTCTTGCGTGACTGTTAAGTGCTGGTGGAATTCAGTTTCTCCTGCCAGGGCTGGAACGCGTTCACAGAACCAAAAACACATGGGAAGACGACATGAGGGAAAACTGCTCCCTCCCACACACCGGCTTTCCTTTCACACAGCCACCTAAGCCCGTCTCCTCCAAGTCGGCGAGCGGGCCTCCCTTCCACAGATGGCACGTATCTCTGTAGGAAAGGACTGGAGACTTTTTTTTTTTCCATTTAAAGTTGACAGTCAATATTATATTAGTTTCAGGTGTAGAGCACAGTGGTTATAGACATTTATATAATGTACGAAGTGATTCCCCCGATTAGTCTAGCACCTACCTGGCACCATACATAATTACAATATTACTGACCTACGCTGTACTTTACATCTCCGTGACTATTTTGTAACTACCGATTTGTACTTCTTAAACACTTCAGCTTTTTCACCCAGCCCAGCTCCTTCCCATTTGGCAACTACCAAAATGTTCTATCTACGAATCTGTTTCTGTTTTGTTTGTTCGCTTTTGTTCTTCAGATTTCACATATAAGTGGAATCATGTGGTGTTTGTCTTTCTCTATCTGACTTATGTTACTTAGCATAATACCCTCTAGATCCATGCATGTTATCACAAATGGTTACTATTTCATTTTTTTTATGGCTGAGTAATGTTCCACTGTATATATGTACCACTTCTTTATCCAATCATCTATTGATGGGCATTTAGGCTGCTTCCACATCTTGGCTATTGTAAACAGCACTGCTGTGAATTTAGTGGTACAGATATCTTTTAGAATTAAGTGTTTTAGATTTCTTCAGATAAATACCCCAAAGTGGAATGACTGAATCGTAAGGTAGTTCCATGTTAAGTTTTTGAGGAATCTTGAAGCTGTTTTCCACAGTGGCTATATCAACCTGCAATCCCACCAGCAGGACTGGAGACTTTTACTCCCCTCCCTGAGGTGACTTCAGTGGCTCCTTTACCAACTGCCTCGGGGTTGATGGAAAGCTCCAAACTTACATGGCCCACAGGAGTCTCCAGCTGGTGAGCGACCAGCAACCAACAGGCCCCAGTGAGCAGACGATACTGTACGACTCTTAAAAAGGTTTTCCAATGATGACTTTTTCTTTCTTTTGAACTAATAAAAAGGAAACTGGGCTCTCTAAATGACGTGCTTGAAAGAAAGCAGAGGGAAAAGAAAGAACTGCAAATCAGAAAGGAGACCCACGAATAGTCTCCTCCCAGCTGGCGGCCAGGGCTGGAGTCCTCACCCCCAGCTGCCTCCGACATCTCCCTCCCACGCCCGATAGAGCAATGACCCCTCATCACACCACATTTGGTTGAGGAATCTTTATCTCCTCCCGATGCCTTTTCCTGACTTTAATTACATACTTCTTTGAGCTCAGATAATCTCTGGAGAAAAACAGATATAATAGACAACTGGAAAAACTTACAGGGGGATAGAGAAAGAACTGCCTATATCCAGCATTTTTTTTTTTTTAAGCTTAAAAATGTCTCCTATGAATTATTATGGGTAATTGGAATGAGTGTGTGCTCAAAGCTAAATTACTTTGTTCCTTTGTTGATAGCTGTGGTGCAGCTGCTTCAAAAAAAAAAAGGGGGCGGGGAGACACAAACGGGAAGTTTCTTTAAAGTGAAATTCAAAAACGTGTTTAAGGGAGGCGAAAGTTGGCATTGCTACACATACTGTGTGCAAGTCGGTGCAGCTTTCTGGGCCGGTTGAGAAGGATGGAGAGTGTGTGGGCCCTGGGTAGGGAACCAGCAGGACAGGGTTTATGATTAAGGAAGAGCAGTGCACAGCTGGCTCCCAAGGAAACCCACCATGAAGCTGCTACCTCCGAGGGCAGGAAACATCTGTTTCGCAGAGCCCTTAGCCGGCCCCTGCAGGCTGCTTCGGGGCAGTGGGGTCCACGTGTAAATGTCACTGTTACCCAAAGTCTCTGCCTAGATCACACCCTGGAGCAGCAAGTGCCAACCGTGCAGTCCTCTTGCTCTTTCTATCTTTTGAGTTGTCAGCCGGCGAGAAATCAGTATCCTTGGTGGCCAGTTCTGATAGAGAAGAACTTGGCTACAGTCCTAATCCAAAGCCTGTGCTTATTCTCCTTATTCCACAAGGTGTAAAAAAGGTTTTTAACGTGGGTCTGTATGAAGCAAACATCTACTCTGCACAGCCTCGCTGCATTCTTGGTTACAACCCTCACACGGCTCTCTGCTCTCTGGGATCTGTTATCTTTTAAAATCAAAACTAGGCAATATGTCGTGAGCCTTGGTCATCACGATCAAGGAGGTAAGCAAATAAAAGGAAGAGGAGATAAGAGTGGCTGCTTTTTTTATTTTGAAGCGCGAATGACGTGAAGAAACAGACTGGAAAGTAATGACAGGCCGAGTGACCAAAGGCAGACGAGCCTCCCGCTTCCACCCATGGGTGGCTCGTTCGCAATGCTTGCTGGATGCGTGGAACAAGGGAAAACGGACAACACAAGTAAGCGATCTCGGCCAGGAAAGCTGGAAAACACCATCTGAGTATGAGGCCCCTTCCATCAAAGCTTATCATTTAATGGGGAGCTGGACCGGTCTACAAGTAATCACGGACAGGATCAGTGACATACGGGAGACACAAGCATGATGGTTCACAGAAAGAAAGAAAACCCAGTGAGACTTCCCGGAAGAAGCAGTGTCTGAACTGGGTCTGAACCAGGGTACACTCTAGAAAACTGAACGGCGAGCCCACAGGCAGCATGAACAACGTGGACTGGAGTACGCACAGGGCGGAACAGTGCACGGCGAGGGAGTCAGGGCAGTTTCTGTCTGACCTACTGCAGCACGGCAGGCAGGGAAGTGAGCGACGGGGGCTCAGAGGGGGAGAAATGGTAATTCCAGATTTGGAACATCCCAAATCTAGGAGCTCGGCCACTGCTCAGATGTGGGGCCGTGGGTGAGTTATCTTACCTCCCTGAGCTTCAGTTTCATCACCTGTAAAATGAAGGAAATGTAGCATCTGCAGCTTCCCAGGGAGGTACATCGATTAAGGGCACTCTTATCGATTAAGCATATTGTCACAGGCCACCTAGGGCATGCTGGGGTCAGACTGGGGGGCTGAGAGGAAAAGGCAAGCTTGATGACACAGAAGCAGCAGTCACCACGGAAGCAAAAGCCCCTGCTCTGTTTCTAATGCCTCCCGCGTGCCAGGCCCCGGCTCGGCCCTTTACACACGTCCTGCCCTGCTCAGAACCACCCCCTCCGTGGTGGATCCAACAGGCCCAAATGGAGGGACGGGCGATTTCTGATAAAGGGGGATCATGACCAGAGCTCAGTTCTACAAGTGAGGTAAAGGCTGTGAGCACTTGGGAGCTGAAGAGGGAAGAGAAGGGAAGGGATGGAGGTGAGAAAAAGGGCAGAAGATTCGTCAACTCCTGGACAGGAGTAGGGGAGATGGGAAAGGAAGAGGGGTCACGAACATCAAAGACAGAGGTAACAGTGAGAAGCCAGCCAGACGACCTGGATGTGGGCTTCATATCTCCCTTGAATAATCAGGATCGGGCCAGCTGGCAGTCAGAAATACATCTGGAGTTGGAGAGAGAAGCCAAGCCTTAAAGAATTTGGAGGTAATAGCTGAAAACAGGCCAATCCCTGAGATCACTAAGCTTTGAAAAGGTCTGAATACAAAATCTTGGACAACATCCACATATGGGGATAGAAAACAGAAATGACAACAAAGAAGAAAAGGTGACACTGAGAGGAATATGACACCACGGGAAGTGGAAACAGGTGGCTGGTGGCATCGAATGCTCTGGAGACATCAAGTCAGGTGAGGGCCACAGAGACAGGAGGCCCCCACAACCTGCGAAAGAATCGCTCCCACCGAGGCCAGAACATGCACAGCCAGCTAAGTAATCATGCAGGCCCTGCACTTATATATAATTAACTGCTTCCCTTCCTGTACTTGGCCAGTTGAAGCAAGGTGGTTTTAATTTACAGCCTTTTTAGGAGAGACCATGGTCAAGAAAGAATGAGGGATTCTGAGTGCCACAATAAACTCAGAAGAAAATGCCACACAAGGCTAGATATTTTGGTTGGCCATGCTATTGCGAAGGCACAATATAAACCTCCAGGAAATCTAACTCTAAGAGAACTGTGACTTGTATTTGCCACAGGTCAGAGTAATTAAAGAAAGAAAAATGCTCTCCCCAGCAATTCCAAGAGGGAGGTGCCAGCAGAACCACACTGCGGGAGCAGAGACGCAATTGTCTCCTGCTAACCACACATTCCTGCACTGCACTGCGTGGTGCGCGCTATTGCTGGGCGGCACAGCCATCCCTGCCAGCTGTGTGGGAGCCTCTGAATATAGCCTCACCTCAGGCAGCAGCCCCGAGGTTGCACAGAAAATGGGTTTGATCATGTGAGGTCCCCTTTATTAAAAAAAAAAAAAAAGACTGTACATAGAAAAGAATTTAAACAGCAAAAGTGAGCTAGGTACTCTCACCAGTTTCTTAAAACATATGAAGGCTTCATGCTGATAAATGCTCGACAATTAACTGATATCAACAGTCTCAGACCACGTTCAAATAAAAGAATACCTGAACCAAGATTCAGGCTTCAAGACGAACATGCCTGCCTTGAAAGGAAGCATCCGTACCTGTTTCCCCGACTCCAATGAGTCAAAACTATCGCAGCTCTCCTCTGATGAGAGGGTTTCCATGGGAACATCATCTCGGAAACCGACAAACTCTTCATCATCGCTGGGGGCGTTAAAGATGTCAGCCACTTCTTTAGGGATCTGTTTTGGATTCGAAACAAAGAAGGATAAAACCAGGGGTTGTTAAATCACTTAGGGAAATCTTCTAGAGAAGACTAGGCATCACCATCTCCTAACTTTATCAATCTGCCCGGCAGCCCAGAAGGCCTCGTAACCCTGAGCAAGATGCGCTTCAGCTGATACCTCACTGCAAGAGGGAAGGGAGGATCAGATACAACTTTTCCTATTCAAATTCTAGAGCTATAGCCTATCTTACAGGGAATGTCAAAGCCATGCATGCGCAGGTAGCAGCCATTTTTCATCTCTTGACAAAAAAAAAAGAGAGAGCGAAAATAGGCATCAGTTTCTGCAAAACCAACGATCTATTTTTCTCCTAAAAGTGGATCTGTCTTTAAATGTCATCATGTAAAAGATTCCAAAAGATATTACTATGCTCCTCTTTCCTTAATTCCCACCTATAGTTATTTTTCTTTGTCATATGCTGATTCTGATATGAAAATTCATGCAATGAAATAAGTAGCTTTCCTTCTTTTCTATATTCTGAATCAATTATAGTAGCTTTAGAATTCCAAGAGAATTTAAACGCTATTATAGGCAATTATTCCCAGAAAGAATGTTGCCAGCACACTTAACCTAACAAACATGTATCTGCTGAGAGTTCACTTTTATATGCTGACTACCTATTTTTTTCCCAGCTCTTAATTTTGAAAAACTTCAAACACATAAAAATTTGAAAGAATAGAACAAATATTTTTATATTCTTCACCTGGAACCCCCAATGTCACCACATGTGCTTTCTCTCTCTCTCTCTTTCAACAACTATTAGGTTGAACCACAGGCATTGGCTGACTTTTGTTTTTGACCCAGGAAAACAGTGATTTAATACGAGCCAACCCAATTCTCATGTGTTTAAAATAATTTGCAGGCATACAATTCAACCTAAAAGACTACAGCACACATATCCCAAGAATAACGACATTCTCCTACAGAACCACAAAACCATCATCATACCTAAAATAATTAACAGTAATTCAATAGTATCATTTCTCAGGAATCCATATTTCAAGGTCTGCAACTGTCTCCACAAAATGTCTTTCATAACTTTCTCAGAGGAAGAGGGATACACATAAAGCAAGAAACATGCATTGTATTTGATTTGTCTGTGTGACATTGTTTTTTGCTGCTTTTCTAATACTGAAATTTTGTAGATAGTCCAAGATAACTATCTTGCAAAATGTCTTCCTGTAAAGCTTTTCTGATTGCTTCCTGATAGATTCAAATTAAATATTTTTGGCAACAATCCTACACAGATGACATATACTTCTCAATGTACTGCAGAAGGAGACACAGTAGTGGTTCTTAAAACATAATTATAAAAACTTTCAAACACATTCATAGGTAGATGGAATAGTATACTGAACACGCATGTGGACCCCCTAGCAATTATTTGTCCGTGGCTAACACTGCTTCATCTTTATCCCTACCCCACCGCCCTCCTTTCAAACCATTTTAAAGCAAATGTAGATGTGGTATCATTGCATGCTGTATCTTCAGCGAATATGCTGAAGTCTGCGTTCCCAGTTCTATAAACTTTTTTTTTTAACTCATAGTTTATTTGCATCACGATCCAAATAAGGTCCGTACATTGGTCGACAGGTCTCTTAAGTCCTTCCTCGTGTTTCCTTTATTTTTAATTTTTTTTTATGACTTATTTTTGACTGTAGAGTTTGCCAGTCTGGAGGCTTTGTTTTACAATCCTCCCCTCCCCTGATGGTAGGTAGCAGACTCCTCTGTCCCTTTGGATTTCCAGTAATTTGGTAGTTGAACCTAGAAGCTCGATCAGATTCAAGTCGGCTTCTTTCTGGCAAGACTACTTCACAGGTAGTGCTAGCCTTGTACTTCACGTGCCCCAGCCCTCGATATGATCTTTTCTCCAGGAAGCGCTGGCATTTAGAAATCAAGATGTGAGAACTCAGTGTGCTCCTTGTTAGTGAAGTATCATTACTTCTAGGCTCTTTGATCGGACAGAGCAAGGATATTTTAAGTATCTTAAATCATAAGTTCATAGTGACACCTTGAATTCAAATCCAACATGGCAGATTCTTCCGCAGCAACCTCAAGCCCACATTAATATCTCCCTTCCTCCACAATGAAAACCCCAATTTCCAGTATTTCTCATATACTTACCCATTGGCTCTCTCTGCGATACATACACAATAGTTTCAGACTGGCACCACTACCAACGACACTGCCAACAACATTCGAGTTCAAAGTTTCTTTGTGGTTTTATACTAGATCTTTCCTCTGAGATAACCTGACAATTCTGTACTTGGGGCTGCAAAAGCACTTCCCATGTACTTCCCATTTCATCACACGGTACAGTAAAGAGATGTCGTCCGGGGTCGAGATTTTAATAAAATAATTTTCACTGCTACAAGACATTCTTATGTGAAACTGGCATTGTCTTCTAAAATTGAGTGCCCTGAGGTGAAGACTGTGGTGACCACTTGTACAGTTTGCTGCCATCACCCTGATTCATGCTAAGGGCCAGCAGTTTTCACTACCTTTGCTTTGCACCATCAATGCAAATATCAACACAGCAGAAAAGGGCAAAGGTCTTAGTATTATTACGACAATGACTCTGTCCTCATGGAACCCCGAAAGGGCCTTAGGGTTCCCCAGACCACAACTGGACTGCTGCACTAACACATACAAAGTTGTGTATTCAAAAGCTGTTTAAATTCTTTGATTTCTTTTTTCTGTGCATTGAATTAATTTTACAGTCAGTTAAGTTCACTTGAGAAATTACTCATCCCTAATCTGGTTATTTTTATCATGCATGCTTCCTGTTTAAAAACACAATTAGAAAGTTAATGGTTCAATCAATGAAAGCTTAACATTTGGTTTTTAGAGAACACAAATTCAGAATTGAGTATAACAAGTTTACTCATGGCGGAGGGTTAATACAAACACACTCCCACCATCTAATGAAATCACCACAAGGGACAAACAGGCAGACACTTACGGAGTTAGAGTTCCACCAACAATAGAAGAAAACCTGCCACCATGCTAAACAAAGCTTAACTCTGAGATGGTTCTTGGGGGAAAAACTGAAACTTTTCATAAGGAAGTAAATTTAACAGTATTTGGCACCCATATCTTTTCGAAGACATCTTTTGTTGTTAGATACCTTTTGTTAATCAAAACCAATGACAGGTCTCTTAAGTCCTTCCTCGTGTTTCCTTTATTTTTAATTTTTTTTTATGACTTATTTTTGACTGTAGAGTTTGCCAGTCTGGAGGTTTTGTTTTACAGTCCTCCCCTCCCCCGATGGTAGGTAGCAGACTCCTCTGTCCCTTTGGATTTCCAGTAATTTGGTAGTTGAACCTAGAAGCTCGATCAGATTCAAGTCGGCTTCTTTTTGGCAAGACTACTTCACAGGTAGTGCTGCGTTCTTCCTTCAGAAAGCACAGAATATCTGGCTGTCTCTTGTTAGTAGCGATGCTGTTTGGTCGACAAGATGAGATCAGCCAGATTTTTCCTTAGCAAAACTAATTTACTCCTTTGTATTTAGAAAAGTAATAACTAGGGTGATGTTTGAGATTCTGTGAATATCCTTCTCTCCCTAATAACATTTCACTCAATAGTTTCAGAATCCATTGATAACTCTTGCCTGAACCAATTACTATATTAGAGATTATAAAACGGTGATTTCATATCTATCACTCTTTCAAATATTAGCTGGCATCCTTCTGTAACATATTAGTTTCTTCCTCCCTCTCTCTCTCCCTCCCTCCTTTCTTTCTCTCTCCTCTTTCCTCCCACACAGATTCATGGATTTTTTTTATTCATCTGTTGTAACCCATTACTGTCATCATTCTTTCTGATGCCCAAATTGTCCCAAGTTTGGCCACTGGGAGCTCCTTCAAGCCAGCATCCGTGTCCGTTTGATACAACCTGATAGTCTCCGAGCAGCTCCTTGCTTTCCAGCAAGACGAATGTGCCGAGCTAGCCTTGTACTTCACGTGCCCCAGCCCTCGATATGATCTTTTCTCCAGGAAGCGCTGGCATTTAGAAATCAAGATGTGAGAACTCAGTGTGCTCCTTGTTAGTGAAGTATCATTACTTCTAGGCTCTTTGATCGGACAGAGCAAGGATATTTTAAGTATCTTAAATCATAAGTTCATAGTGACACCTTGAATTCAAATCCAACATGGCAGATTCTTCCGCAGCAACCTCAAGCCCACATTAATATCTCCCTTCCTCCACAATGAAAACCCCAATTTCCAGTATTTCTCATATACTTACCCATTGGCTCTCTCTGCGATACATACACAATAGTTTCAGACTGGCACCACTACCAACGACACTGCCAACAACATTCGAGTTCAAAGTTTCTTTGTGGTTTTATACTAGATCTCTCCTCTGAGATAACCTGACAATTCTGTACTTGGGGCTGCAAAAGCACTTCCCATGTACTTCCCATTTCATCACGCGGTACAGTAAAGAGATGCCGTCCAGGGTCGAGATTTTAATAAATTTTCACTGCTACAAGACATTCTTATATGAAACTGGCATTGTCTTCTAAAATTGGGTGCCCTGAGGTGAAGAATGTGGTGACCACTTGTACAGTTTGCTGCCACCACCCCGATTCATGCTAAGGGCCGGCAGTTTTCACTACCTTTGCTTTGCACCATCAATGCAAATATCAACACAGCAGAAAAAGGCAAAGGTCTTAGTAATATTATGACAATGACTCTGTCCTCATGGAACCCCGAAAGGGCCTTAGGGTTCCCCAGACCACAACTGGACTGCTGCACTAACACATACAAAGTTGTG